TGAAGCTGAGACTTGTAGTGATCCTCCTGCCTCAGGCTCCCCAGCACTGGGATTACAGGTGTGCGCCACCACAGGGCTGGCACGGCATGCAGTACTGGGTACTGGGGATCGAACTGGGGCTCTTGAACTTGCCAGGCACGCACTTAAACCACTGAGCTCTCTTTTTTTAAAATTTTATTTATTTATGTGTTTGTGTGTGTGTGGCCAGCTTAGCCCACCAGGGGGCGGGGCCGGCTGGCATGTGGTGCTGGGGGATTGAACCGCGGTCCCTGTGCTTTGCTTAGTTTAGCTTAGCTTGTTCTAAGTAGGTGCTTTAGACCACTGAGCCATCTCACCAGCCCCGCTAGAGCCACTTTTAAGATACAGTTTAGCTCTCTGTTTTTATGTGACTACGTTCCACAGCTTGTTTATACTTTTCTGCTGGATATGTTATGCCAATTTAGAACAAGTACTGTGTTAGTCAAAGTTAATCTGTTTGTCAGGGTCAGTCAAGATTCCTCAAGGGTTGTTACGGGGCTGTGTCAGGAGCCTCTTACAGCTCCGGTTTTCCTTCTCCAGTTGTGACCATCATTTGCTGGGATGGGTCATGGTCCTCCTTCCCCTTAGGGCTTCTCTTAGAAGTACAGGGACATTCTCCTCTTTGTAAGCTTCTTTTTTGTAGAATGTACATGAGGTGACTCCTGTCCTCAGGGCTTCAACAATCCCCCAGCTTGGGAGGCTGGGTGACTCCCCAGAATTGTAGGGTCATCTTAAAGGACATTTCCTGGGACCTGGCTGACTGGAGGGCAAAAGACAAAACACTGGCTGACCTCTTCCCCTTCCAGTCATCTTCAGCTTTGGCCTAGAGCCTCACTCACTGGATACCCAGTGACAGGTCAGGACTCAAAGTTTCCCGGGCACCTTGCCTGAAACATTCCCTCCCTTGGTTTCCTAGGTGACCTATGCCAACCCCTATCCCAACCCTGTCCCACCGTTGTACTCTGGTCTCGGCTCAGTTCCCCTTGACCCATGTTGGTCTCAGCGCACTCCCTTCTGACGTAAACAAATCTAAACCACAAGGAAGATAAATGATGTCCACCTGTGATCTGGCTGTTCCAGCTCACAATTACCCTCCCTGAAAGATCCTATAAAGTCTCCTGCCCCTCTTTGTCCAGTGCTGTCTTGGTCCGCGAGGCAGCCCCCACGTGTGCTTCCCGTAGACCTGCTTAGTGTGCCTGGGCCGGCACTGCGTGGGTTCCGCGCCCAAGTTTGACCTTTCACCCAGGAGGTCAGTTCACTAGTTTTGAAGTGGAAACAATAGGTCTTAATCTTAATTGCTGTGACCCTTTTTGGAGGTTGGGGCCCTTAGAAATATAAAATGTGACAGGAGGACCCTCTTATTTAATAGTAACTAGTACTGAGAGTTTAGTTTGCACCCATGCGATCTGTAGGTGGTGGGCTACCACCTTCACTTGCTGTTTAAGTTGTTTCTTGAAGTCATCCTCTTAGCAGTTATAAAGATTTTCCAGGAAACTATAAAAGAAAACTAGTAAGAGCAAATTTAAATTCACACAGGGCACTAGTTCTGAACCCAGAAACATGGTTGGTAAATGTGGCATTGTTTAGAGGTACCCAGTGCCAGCTGCCACTCTTCCTTTCTTGGAATTCAACTTTCACAACACGCTGTTTTTGAATCACAAGGCCTTTGGCTGACTTGTGCCCAGGCAGGCAGATGGCTTTTAGGATGCAGATTTGAGGTCCAGGTCCTTGAATCCCAGGCCTGGAAGGCCTGCACGAGTGCCCTGCACCATCTTTTCCTGGGAGCCAGGAAGGATCCAGAGGTGACCAGTTAGGGCTCTGCCTTGGTCTTGCTGTATGGCCTCAAAAAGAGTTGTGCTGTTCAAACTTGTCACTGGAGGGCCCAGGAGGTGGATCAGATCATAAAATAATTTACCAGGACTCAGGGCAAGGAAGAGATTTACTGGCCACCCCATAAGGGAGCAGAGCTGGATTTCCTAGAGAGGGCTGCACTATCTGAGCAAACCCAGGGGGACCTGTGTAAGAGGTCCCTCTTCTCCATCTGAAGAAGTTACAGATAGGACCCATGGACATGGGGAAAGGAAGTTAGGGAGAAAGCTTCGTGCAGTATGTTGTTTGTGTCCTTGAAAGTCCCTGATGTATGTTATCTTTACCATAAGATCTGGCACCTGGATTATGGGGTGATGTAACAGTCACGATTGTTTTGCTGTAGGTTTCAGAAACAGCTCATTGGAAAAGAGAATGGGACTCCAGTATAGGACCACATAAAGGGCAAATGACCCCACCCTGACCGTACCCACAAATCTCTTAGCCTTTCTGTGTATGAGACCACCTCTGAGATGTCAGGGCCCCCTCCTGATCTACTGGGTACTGGGGAACAGTGGGCACCTGCCGCTGTGCCCTGCTCTCCAGCCCTCCCTGCGCTGTGCCTGAGTCCTCCTGGAACCTGAACAGTGCTGAGTGGTGGGGTCCAGTCCTATTTCCCTGCAGCTGGCCTCAGTACCTCCCTCTGCAACCTTGTGTCCTGTGTGCCACGGAGCCTACCTCTGACACAGGTCCCACTATGCCAAGCCAGGGACACAGAAGTGGGGAGAATTAGGGTCTCAGCATCAGACTGCTGAACCACCACAACCCGCCCATTGCCAGCCAGGCAGGAAGAGGGTGGAGCCTGTAGGCAAATGGCCTGGGGTTGTCACTGGGATCTGGCCTCCCAAAGCAAAGGCCCTGTGAGCAAAAAGGAAAGCCCCAGCACTGGAGACAGCAGGCCGGGAGCAGATCAGCTGGGCTCACAGGGCAGGTTCTCAGGGCCTACAGGAGAAAAGGTAAGCGAGGCCAGGGGAGGTGAAGCCTCGGGGCCATCGCTGCCTCTTTGGGTGACGAGGCAGGAAGAGGAGGTGGCAGCCACTTAGACCGTTACAAGGCAGTCACAGACAAGGGACTTTCCACGGCTGTGGGCAGCCTTGGGACGGGGAAATGAAACCAAAGAGCGCAGTCAAGGAGGTGCTCAGGCAGGTCAGATGGAAGGCAGTCAGGATCAGATAGCCTGAGGCTCTATCCCCCCGCCCCCTGAGCCTCAGGCTCAGCCTCCTGTGAAGCACCCCCTGCATCCCCAAGTCCTGTGACCCTAGGTCCCTGGACAGACCACAGAGCAGCCACGGGGGTCTCTCGGCGCCCACTCAAGGCAGAGGCATAATGAAGACCATGGAAAGACTCTTTAAATTTCATCTTAAGAGAGGGCTGGGGAGATGGCTCAGTAGAATAAGCGCTTGCCTGGCAAGCACAAGGGCCTGAGTTCAATCTCCAGTTCTGCCAATAAATAAATAAATAAGTTTTGTCTTAAGGACTTGCATGAGTCTGTAATCCATGCTCTGTAGAGGGAAAAGTCCATACAAAATAGGAGCTACACTGTCCCCTCAGTAGGTACAGCCCATGTGAAACAAAAATGAAATTAGTCTTAAAATAATTGTTGTAAGTGGTTTCTGGCATACCTACCACTGTAGCTCTTCAAGGTTGACACAGGTAGGAACCACCGTGGCCAGACAGTGGTAGAACAGAAAGCCAAGGTGACAAAGCTGGCACCAGGGCACAGTAAACTTTCCCTGTGGTTCGTTCTTCACCCCAAGGAAGGTAGGAGAGGCCCCTGGGGAGGGAACAGCAGACGCTTTATGAGACCCTGACGGAAGGAGAATATTTGCCTAACATGAGAAGCTGTCCCCAAGGAGAAATCAGCCCTTCAGGGTCACCCATTCTTGCTCAATTTAAAACTCCTCATTTTTGAAGTCATATAAGCTGGGCCATAGACAATCAGTGCCCGCCCCCAGGTTTGCAGTGGGTATTGTGTTTCCCCCAAAATAAGACCTAGCCTGAAAAGAATCAGGCTTGACAAACAAAGCAAAATGCCAGCCCCAGTCAGCCTATCCTTGCCTTGCCACCTTACAAAGGAGCCACTGAGCAAGAGAAAAGTGACAGGTCTTAGGACACAGGCGTGTGAGTGACACAGTCAAGGGACACAGAACTGTGTAAGAAGAGGATGCACCCAGAGTTCTCAGCGAAGGGGGTCCTCAACCAGCCCAGGCATAAGGGTGACACAAGCAGTGTGTCCCACGCAGGGGTGGGGGCCTGAGCTGCAGGGTTGCTTGGCTAGCTGGGTGCCCAGGAGGCAGTGCGGAAGATGGGAGAGAACGCAGCCCTTCCCGCAGCTCCCAGCGGCCCCTGCTCTTCTGCCTCCCCAGGGGCCTCTAGAAACACACCTCAGGGTAGGTCCAGAGGGTGAGCAGCCCCAGATCCCAGGGTGCCTCGGGAGGACACTGCACATCTGAGCTTTCTGTTTGTTGCACAGAAGGGAGATGCCGCTAAGAGAAGAAACATTCCGGGTGCAGTTTAACAACGCACACAAGGCCCCAAAGCCCTTCTGCCGCAGGGTGACGTACCTGTGCTACCAGCTGCAAGAAGCGAGCGGAGGCCTGGTGACCAAAGGCTGCCTTCGGACCAAGGTGCAGACAGGCTCTGGGTGTGAGGCAGAAAGGACTCAGCCACCCACCTGGGGCCATTTACACCTGAGAGTCCCATCCTCAATGGCCACTTGAATGCCACCTGTCTTCCTGACCTCTGTTGGGTCCCAGCCTGGAGCTCTTGCTTACCTAGCAGAGGCTGTGCTCTCCTTCCCAGCACTCTTCCTGCCCCTCCTGGAGAAGTTAAATGTCTGTCAGCTTCCCCTGTCCCTTGTCATTCCTATGTACCCAGAGGCTCCCAGTCACCTTGAACTGGTGGCCATCCTCCTGCCTCAGCCTCCTGGGTGCTGGGATTACAGGCATGCGCCCACAGGCATGCGCCATGGGGCCCAGCTGGTTCAAACGTCTTTGGACAGCCCTCGGGCAGGTGTCCCACATCATGGTCACCAAGCTTTCGGGCCTGCACCTGAATATGTGGTCTAGTTGACCCCTCTGTGTGCACTTCAGTCCTTGTCCAAAGGCTTGGGACATACTGGGCTACACATTATATCTCTATGGGCTACATAGCAAGACCCTGGCGCCAAAAGCAAAACAAAGCCAATGCCTTGGGAGTTTGGGGATGCAGAGTCAGTGGATGAGTGATAGGGGGCAGCTTCTTCCTGTGCTGGATAAGGGTCCCACATTAGAATGTCTATCCCCTTCCCCAGCCATGGGACTCATGGCCACTGGCTTCTGACCCTTCCTTCTCTCATTGACATCCCTCCAGAAAGGTCAGCACGCAGAAATTCGCTTCATTGAAAGGATCCATTCCATGGCCCTGGACCAAGCCCGCAGCTACCAAATCACCTGCTTCCTCACATGGAGCCCCTGCCCATTCTGTGCCCAGGAACTGGCTTCGTTTAAAAGCACTCACCCTCGCGTGCACCTGCAGATCTTTGTCTCCCGCCTCTACTTTCACTGGAAGAGGAGCTACCAGGAGGGGCTGCAGCGGCTGTGCACATCCAAGGTCCCGCTAGCAGTTATGGGCCACCAAGGTAGGAAGGAGGGACCATGAGGCACAAGCCACGGGGTGGGGGTGGGCCTGACAGGTGAACAGAGGAGAGCTGGGCAGGAACAAAGGAGGCGGCCATGCAGCTGAGCCCTCGAGAGCAGATACCCTTGGAAGGCAGATTGAGGGCCAGGGACAAGGCCCAGGAGAGGACGAGGACCCTGCCACGGGGTGTGGCTCTGCCTGGCTTCCCCTTTTCTCTCTCAGAGTTTGACTACTGCTGGAACAACTTTGTGGACCACAAGTCAGGGCCCTTTGAGCCCTGGGACAAACTAGAGTACTATAGTAACTGCATAAAAAGGCGCTTCAGGCGGATCCTGAAGGTGAGTCCCAGCCACAGCCTCACAGGCCCCCTCCCTGCCCCCTCCTGCCCTGTGCTAGCTCCCTCTCTCCTCTTCACTTGCCCATCTCTCCCACCAACGACCCCAAGTCCTCCTCCTCTCCCTCTCCTTAGATGCTAAGGAGTCACATTTGTGTCTCTCAAGGCCTCCTGGCCCTTCCCCCCCAACCATTGCCTCTCCCTCCCTTCCTCCCTCTTGTCTCTCACTCCTAACTCCTCCCTCTCCATCTTTTTCTCTCTCCAGTCCTGGGGTGTGGATGACTTAACAGACAACTTCAGAAATCTGCAGCTTGGGGGCCGGGGAGATGGCTCAGTAGACTAAGTGCTTGCCTGGCAAGCACAAGGATCTGAGTTCAATTCCAGTTCGCCAGAAAAGAGAGAGAGAGAGAGAGAGAGAGAGAGAGAGAGAGAGAGAGAGAGAGACCTGCATCTTGGATATGCCTCACCCCCAGTGGTATGAAGGGACCCCACATGTTGGTCTGGAACATCACACAACCCCCAACCCCCAGCCTGGCCCTTATCCATGTCCAGAAAACCTTTTTTTACCTCCTTCATTTATTTTGTTTATGTTTTATAAGTGGTTTTGTAATTTTCAAATTAAAAGAGAATAAAGACAATTTTAAAGTGCACAAATCCTGGCTTACTTTCTAAGGGAGGACTGCGAAAGACATTTGCTGGAGAATCCCCTGTCGAGGGTGGAATCACTGAGTTCTGTCTCTAGCATGTACACACACGAGAGTGCAGTACAGTGCCTGGTGGCCTCTGGAGTGACCCGAGACTGGAATGAGTGCCGGAGGAAAGCTACAGAAGCAGACTCTGGGCACCAGGAGCAGGGACCCACGCGAGCCTGGGGAGTGGTCTTTAGGGTAGGGGACAAGCTGGGTCTCACAGTGACGTCTGGCTGTGCATTCTTGGCTGTGAAGGGCAAACAAATGGGGTATGTTTGTGTTTCCGGGAAAATCTGTGTTCTGACATCTGGAGTTGTCGCCTACTAGGCATGGTCCTGGGACCCCAAATACGGGAAGTGTTTCCACGTCTTGTTGTCCAAGGTGAAACGTACTTTCTCATTGTACTGCTGTCCACATAAAACTTGACTGAGCAGAGATGCCGTGTAGAATTGATTGAAAAATACGCAAAAGCCAAAATACACAAAAGCTTGAAATTGTATGATCCAGAGTTCTGAATAATGGTTGAAACAAGCGGCATGCTGGTGAGGTCCCACCACGCACACCTGGACCTGCGTGCTGACCCAGAGCCTCCATCTTGGCTGCTGCCACTGTGCAGTGTGTGCCACCAGAGTGAAGGAAAAGGAGGCAGGAAGGAAACAAGTCACAATAAATAATGATCAGCGAAGAGAATCAAGAGTATCACAAGGGGCTGGGGAGATGGCTCAGTGGAATAAGTGCTTCTCTTGTGAGCGCAAGGGTCTGAGTTCAATCCCCGGTTCCGAAAAAAAAAAAAAAAAAGAGTATCACAATACATGAGCCAGCCAAATAGCTCAGCAGATTAAAATTCCTGCAAGCAGGTGCAGGGGCCAGGGGTTCGATCCCTGGGCCTGCTGTGTCAGCCCCGCACCCAGGGCATGCTGAGACATTAAGGTTGGGCGTGGTGGTGTGAGCCTGTAATCCCAGCTATTGGGCGGCTGTAACCAGGAGGATCCCTAGGAGACCAATCTAGTAGTGAGACCCTGAACACCCTGTAGACCCCTCCCTAAAATACAGGGGGAAAAAAAAAAAAGAGTATCACAATAAATGTGAACAGAAAAATTCTTCCATGGCGTTTACAAGAAACAATGACAAAGGAAGGGAAGGAAGAAGGAAAAGAAAGGTTGAAAATACAAGGATGGGGCATGGGAGATAGCTTAGTGGTCTAAGTGCCTGCCTGGCAACTGCAAGGACCCAGGTTCAATTCCCAGTACTGCACGCCATGCTGGCCACTGAAACCCGGCATGGTGATACACACCTGTAATCCCAGCACTGGGGAGGCTGAGACAGGAGGATCACTATGAGTCCAAGCCGCATAAGGAGACCCTGTATCAAATAATTTTTTTAAAAAGAACAACAAAAAAAAAATGAAATACAAGGATGAACAAAGAGGTATCAGGAAATTTTAAATTGTAAGAAGCAAAGGGGCCAGCAAGATAGCTTAGCAGTCCAAAGCACTTGCTTAGGCAAGTTTAAGCAATTGCAGAGATTGCGGTTTGATTCCCGGCACCACACGTTGTCCCAGGGCAGGCTGAGCTGGCCAAAAAAAAAAAAAAAATTAGGAAGCAAAGTGACCATATTAAGTGGGGTGGGTGGCACACGCCTATTATTCCAGGACTCTGAGAGGGTGAGGCAGGCAGGCAGGAGGATCGAAAGTTTGAGCCTAATCCCAGCAAGGTGGCACACATCTGTGATTCAGAACTCAGGAACTTGAAGCAGGAGGATCACCAGGAGTTTGAGGTCAACCTGGGCTACATAGTGAGTTCAAGGC